ATTGGTTTCTAATAATTATCATAGTCTTCAAAATTCATAATAACTCGTGGAAAGTGCGTGAGGATTCGTGGAATACAAGATCTATCTTTTCTTCCTCGAGAAATCTAGAATAGTTAAATGATAGTTCGTATATATGGTTCAAGGAACCTAATCATTTTAGAGCGTAAGATATCATTTTCATATTACACGAGTTGTTAATCTTTAGGTAAGACCTTTTACCAATTTATATATTATATTAACCTCGAAAGGTAAAACTCGAACGTTTAAGCTTTAGTGCATGTTTAACTAATAAAATCTTACGTATTGGAAAATGCAGCACGTAAACCATATTGAAATACCATGTGTCCCAATCCTTCGGTTTTAAATTACCATCAGCATCTTTGTTGATCACTCTACAATAGGAAAAAAGAATCATTAAAAAATTGAGTCTCTTTGAAAGCTAAAGAGAAACATCACAGTTTACCTTCACCATGCCAAAGAACTAGAAAGAAATTTCATAGTACTACAATAAACCCAAAAATAATTCATCCACCCTAACTTTTTATCTGAATTAAAAAATCGAACGAGAGTAACTCGAAACGTCGAAGTATTTGCACATAGATTATCGACAAGCTCAGCTATATAGTATGCATTAGGATATACAATTTGGTTTATTTTAGAGTCATTGAAGAAAACAAGATAGCAGAAGAGAGGCGGACAAATAATCTTCAACCCACTGTATCAACATGAATTATTTTTGATCATGTCTGTGAGAAATATGCAAATAAAATGGAAATATTATGTTATTTATCAATTTGAAGCTCTGAATAGGTTTTGTAACAAATAGAAATATGACGTTGAATGTAACAAGATAATATATTTTTTCTGTTTTAATTACAAGTGTAGGGTAAGTTTTCATGTCCATCATCAGGTACAAACAAATATTTAACAAAAAAAGAGACAAGTTACGTTAAACATCAATATTTTGAATAGGTGAAACCATTCTATTTAGATATTAGATGATTCATTTCATTTTAATCTATAAATTCAACTTGTCTTTCTTGTTTTATTATGTCCTTATTGTCTGATAATCACACAATTTCGTATCGAAAGTTGGTAATTGAAATAAAAAAAGAAAGATCAATTTTTTTATATCTAACCTCATATGTCATTTGGTGATTATTTTTAATTGTTTTGAACCTAGGAAAATATCAATTTTAATAAGTTTTCTGTAGATTAGACGTGGAAATAATGAAATTTTCTTTTTTGAAAAATTTGCACATATTTAAAAGAAAATCATAAAATAAATAAAGTTGTTCAAATTTATGCTTTTTATAATGAAATGCAGCATCTGAATGTCACTAGCTTTGTTTTGTTTTCATAAAGTTACATTAAATAATTGACTAAACTTGACTTTATTAGTAAAGTAAATTAAATCTAATACACTGTGATCGATAAAAAAAGACAAAGTATCACCCTTAAAATGTACTCTGAAGGTAGAAGATAGAAACTTACAATTTCCATCCATCAGATTCCGCAAAACGATATTTAAGACCAATAATACCCGGAAACGTTTCTGAGAGTTCAGACATCGATAAAGCATGTTGATCATTTAAGTGAAACCGAGTATTGCCGTTTGTTGTTGAACCTTCAAAACGAACTTTAATGAATGTCGACGAGCTAGCCATGTTTCTAAATAAATGAAAATTATCAAATATCAATTGAGGAAAAAGTTGGGATGTGGGTGTGAGTGTGGGCCCTGTTCTTCTGCTCATCAACATCCACACCCACATCCCACACGCCATACCTACACCCACATCCCACACACCCACACCCACACCTACCCACACCCAACCCACACCCAACCCACAACCACACCCACACCCACCCATACCCACACCCATATGGTCAAGTGGATAAAGATGAGCCAATACGATCAAATGAACGATGAAGAACTAAAAAGAAAAGCAGATTAATTCAAAAAATAATAATAAATAAGATTTACTAACTCGAAATATAACAAATAGATCAAGTAGAATATGGACGATTGAATGAAATATGAAGAGCTAAAAAGAGCGATGAATAATTCACTTCAGAATAATTGGAACATACTGACAATAAAGCGACAGACAAAAAAACCCGATGAAAAGCTGAATGAATCTAGAAACATGAAACAATTATCGGATGAATAACAAAAAAATCAAGGTAAAAAGCTATGGGCATGGAAAGCAATAAACGGTTGAATCAACAGAAACACACAAACTAAAAAGCGAGAGAGTGTTTATTCGAGTATCGAAATAAAAGAAACATATGTCAATACAAGAAGAAACCAACAGAACATCATGAATCGATTAGCAAGACGACATCAACCTAAATGAAACAAAAATTATTCAATGAAGTACAAAAATCAGGACAAAAGTGTTGAACAAATGAGATAGTCTATTTGTGATCTTCGGAGGCTTTTCATTTACTTTCTTAATTGTATCTGTCGTATTAACTTCTGATTCTTTCATACTTTCTTTACTACATGTTATTTCCTTTTCTGCAGCTAGTTCTAATAGCATTTTTAGTTTTTTCACATTTCTTCATCCAAATTAATAAGGATACTAAAACGATCTAATAAATATTCGCAACAATAAAGTTTATCCAAGATCTCTATTTCTTTCTTTCTATTTTGCGATACCAACTTGCAGATTAAAAAAAAGACTTCAAAGGTTTTTCTATTGCTATCCTGCAAACAATCACACAAAAACAGATTTTCTAAAGTTATTGAAAAGAAAATGATTTCGAATTTTTCACTCCGCTCATCGCATACAATCGAAATCCCAATAAGCGAAGCATAGATCAATTCTAACGACAAATGCAATTTTTTGATCGATAACAACTGTTTTTTTTCATGAGGAGACCATAAGAAAACTTCATTTGCTGGATAATGACCAGGATGACGAATGAACTTTAGAGATTATAAAGAAAAAAAAAGAAGAGTTCATCAAATTGTACTTCATTAAAACTTTCAACTAACTTTAATAAATTCGTTTTAACTTTTACCAATTAATATTCGTTTTGTATATAAACTATTTAAATCTATAGCAAATGAAACTTCTTTAAAAACCACTGCATATAAGCGAACATCTTCATCCTATTATTTAAATAAAAATTCTTTAGCTATATTAAATAAAAATAAAGATCTTACAGCTATTTTTCCTAATATATTATCAAGTCGAAATGTTTCATCATCTGTTGGTTTTATTAACATTATTTCTGATGAAAGTCACGAATAAGTAATAAAAATTTCTTCTTTAACTGTTAAAAGAGCTTTAACTACGACTTTCATATATGATTTCCCGTTAATAAATCTATAGACATATATTAAAATTTACATGTTAATAAATAATAATCTTGTTTTTACCAATAAGCTAATTATGGTTTGTGTACTGATGCAAATGAATTAAAGCAACTTGTTGTAATGTTGTACTTATAAAATCTTTTGCTTGATTAGTTAAATTTAATAAATGTTGTGTCCATTCCTCTGAATCACATGTATTTAGACATTTAATAACTAATATACGTTGTAAATTTTTTATTTGAATACCATTATATGTACGAGTATTTCGAAATCCAAGTAAAATTTCAAAAGCACGATTTAGTAACATTGGAAAAGGTACTTCATATGTATCAGGTCGCATATATTGTATATATGTATATTTAATAACAAATCATCTATAAAAATTTAAAAAAAAATAAATGTGGAAACTTCGGATTTAAATCCGAGAGTTATGTGTATTTCAAAAAGTGAATTAGACACTTGAGTCATCCTAGAATGTGTGGACATCAAAATTATCCTAGCAAACTGTCACGTATTTCAATTACGTATTTGAAATAGAGAGGTCGAGTTAATACCAGTATATTGACTCGAAGAGCAACAGCAGAAAGAATGCAAGATAGATGCAGCAAAAACGAAACAAGAATAACTCACACTGAACAGGAAAAGGCATGCATATATATGTATAGATTGTATAAATGCGTATATCTATATAATGTGATGACTCATATGAAGAAGACAAAGAATAAAAAAAAAATAGAAATGCAGCAATGGAATTATTGTCACTATATGACACAAACCTTTTGTATTAACACTTGAATTCTATTGGCTACTGGTCAGCTAATAGGATTTAGGGGTGAATACAGCTTAGATTTGAACTCTTCGCCTTGGCTTACCCTGAGAAAGTCGTTTTTCCTATAACTCGATTTCTATTGGGTCCTGCTCAATCAATGGTATTTCGAGGCAAGTGGAGTACAGATTCGAGTTCCCCGCCTCAGAAAACCTCGAAGTACCATCTCTGTGATCGAAAGATAGAGCTCTAATTGTGGATCAAACAGAGCATGGACAAAAACAGAATCAATTTCCGTTTAATTATCTTTGCATTAGGTAAGTTAGCCTTCTCATTTCTTTATGTTTTATATACCATTTTGTAGCTCGTGAAATTCTCTATCGAATAGTATATAACACTTGGGGTTTTATTTGACTATGATAGGAAAAATTGTTCACGAAAGTGAGAAGGGGTCGATTTTCGCATAGGAAGGCATAGGGAAAAATGACTATTTTTGCAATAACTCAGGAACGGCTCGGTCAATCATTCTCATCTTCAAACGCGACCGAGATATTGTTGAGACTAAACTGTGTAGAAAATTTCATCATGATCTGTCTCTCTTTTCAAAAGTTATCGTGTTAACGGCCGGCTGGACGGACACACTGACCGATTCTAGAGTGTACTCACTATTTGCGTACACAACAAGAATTTGTTATGAAATGCACTTTCAATAAATCACATAGTTTCAACCATGATGAAATTTACATGAGTCACAAAAAAAATGGTAGACGAAAGAAAGTATGTTGAAAACGATAATTATCATGAAACGATTTTAAAACACAAGCATCTTTTCGACTAGCTAATATACCGTAGATAAATGAAATACAACACATACCGAAAAATTCACGCTCAAACAATCATAAAATAAAAATGTGGAAATCTCGGATTTATATCCGAGAGTTATGTGTACTTCAAAAAGTGAATGAGACAAATCGGTCATCCTAGAATGTCTGGATATAAAAATTTGCGTGGCAAACCTTTTCTATAAACCCTTGAATTCCATTGCCTAGTGTTCAACCGTAGGACTTAGGAGCGTATAGACCTCAAATTTCACCTGTTCGACTTTATTTAGCCTGAGAAAGTCGTTTTCCTATAACATGATTTCTATTGGTCAATACTCGACCAATGGGGCTTCGAGCCAAGTTTAGTGCAGATTCTAGTTCTCCATCCCAGACAACCTTCGATTATCATCTCTATGGTCGAAAGATGGAGCTCTAATTGGTGAGCAATTAGAGCATGCACAAAAACAGAACCGATTCTTCCCAATTTATCTTTGCGATGGGTGAGATAATCTTCCTGTTTCCTCATGTTTTATATATCATTTTGTAGCTCTTGAAATTCTCTATCGAATGGTATATAATAGTTGCATAGATGTCATAATACCATTACACGGAGTATCGAGAGCCAACCGTCAAAATACCCGCAGAGTAATCAAGTGTATTCACTTTCCCGATCTATAATTAACGAACAGGAGTAATGACTTCAATACCCCTTACATAAACTATATATCGTACAAGTTGAGCGTTTTGAGTGGATTTGGTGTAACGACGTCATTCCCCCGGGATAATACACCAAAACCACTCAAAACGCTCAGCTTTACAAAGTATATAGTTTCTATTGCACACAGCGATGTCATTACACTTGGGGTAATACACCAAAACCCCTCAAAACGCTTAACTTTAAAAAGTATATAGTTTCCATGGCACAGAGTGATATCATTACCCTTGGGGTAATTGCTGTTTCGCGGTGGATACCCGATGTAACGGGATTACGACATCACTCATACATAACGTGGTTTTTTTGAAAAAAAAAATAATATTAATCACTTACTATGACTAGATGGACATTGAAGTGCGTAAAGAAATGAAAGTGGTACGTTTTTCTTTCAACCGAAGAGATAAGCAACCATTTCATACTACACGAGAGAGGTCTAAGTATCATAGACAGATCATTTGATATTTCTTTCTCTTCGTTGCTGTCGTTGAATAATGCATCAATCAGGTCGATTGTACGAAATAGACTATTATTAGAAAATGTATATGGAAGAGAGAACATCTGTACGTGACGAAAATACTTGACGATAATTCACACACACTCGTATGTGACCTAAAGATCCATTGAACCAAAAAACGTGTACGAAAAGCTGGAATGAAATCATATAATATATGGCTGCTTGAAGGTTCTCTAAACTGCACTTGAATAGCAATATGAACTGATCTCAAATGAGATAATCTACTGCAAAGAGTAGCAAGATGATTGCCATAGAAACATATATCAAGCTCAGGGTGTGGATGTGAGTGTCGGTATCATTCTCTTCCTCACGTTCACACCCACACTCCGGCCACACCTGCATCCTCTATTTCTAAAATGGATTGAAAGAGAAAGAGTGTATCTGACATTGATGTTACATTACTTCGATATTGTCATCAAGGCATTGTTGTACTAACTGGCATGAATGAAAGAAAAGAATGTCTTTGTCCACCAAGTTATTTTGGTAATTGATGTCAATGGCAAAATCAAACGTATTAGTTTGACTC